CTAACTAAGCATTACTTAGAAGAAATGTGCCTCCCTTCCATACATAAATGTGCATTTTACAGAATTGTTTGCTATGACAGTGCAAGTGCTCCAGTCTGTGATATTAGCGACATTCACAAAGGTCCGGGTTCAGCATTTATCAAAACAAAGTTGCTTTTGATCTAACTGGCATACTGCAGACGTAAAACGATGACTGGAGTAAAAAACGATTGATCGTTCAAAGACGAAGCATGACGTCATTAAATTTGATTTGTGGTCTTGAGGTTGATGCATTTAGCATTTTTAGCGTAAAAGTTATATTTCAGTGAAGAAAGTAGCATTTAGTCAATGGCCTAGTATACAGTGTGTCAGCCCTCCGTCGGTGACCCAGTATACAGTGTGTCAGCCTCCCGTCGGCGATTGGCACCCGAAGTGGAGCCATAAACCGCGCCTGATCACGGAGCGAGCTCTTACGCCGGCCGTTGGGCGGGAGTGCGGCCGGCCCGGCCGACGAGAGAACTTCCGTCTCAGAACACATCAGCGGTGAGTGTCGTCTGCTCCAGACAGACTCGCGGCTCTAAACAGGAGCGGGCTGTGAGACTGGGGAGGACAGGGAGACCGGAGGGGCCGCGGGACGGCCCTGCAGATGATCTGTTCAGTTACAGCCTGCCCGTCAAGGCAAGTCGTCGAAAAAAGGAAACAAGAGTATTGAGAGCCTAACAATGTCAAGAGAACCTTCTAAAGCAATGCTGTACTAGACAATTGTTTATCTTCACTTACTGAGAGCAGAAGATAAAGCTTTGATTGTACTGCCGTCACCCGGTGATTGGACGCGTCTGTTGACACAGTGTGGAGCCGCAATTACGAGGCCTGTTGGCACCACGCGGCTGACAGCCGAAGAACAGCGGAGGGATAGGCTCGCCCCAAATGGATTTAATTGGCAATCCGGTCAACAAAACACGACATCAAGAGCCGAGGCGGGCGTGGTCACCATGGTAGCCCCTGTCCAAACTCACACCAGCAGCGAATCTGCAGGTGTGCTCCCGTCTCAGCAAGGGATGCGTCATTGAACCTACCTGCATTCCGGAATGGATGTTGGATGGCTGTTTCATGCATAACATCTGTGTTCGGGAAATAGCTCACATTAAAAAACAACTTTCGTTTGTGCTTTTAAACTATTTTGAAGAAAAAAAATGCGCTGCTAAAGAGAGTTTGCTTTCACTGCAAATGCAGGAATGATTTCTAATGCTGAGGTTATGATGAAGTCCAGTGAAGTTCATGCTGAAACTGATAGGCTTAAGCAAAATCTGTTTTTTTTCTTTTTAGGAAAATCTGATCGCCAAATCTCCAGCCAATAGTGTTCGTATTTCCCGGCCAAAGCACTTAACACTGGACGCTCAATAAACAAGCCTTTCAGTACATACAGCCAGCCTCGCACCTGGGTGGTAGGCTGTACCGCAGCTCTTGCCTGCATTGCGGCGCAGCATAACCCGGCAGTTGCTGGGGTATTTCGCCACCCACCGTTTGCTGGGGGGGGGGGGCGTTAAACGCCCCCAGCCGATAACTCGAGAACCAATAGGCGCAGCGAAACGCACGAGGCGGCAAACGAAAGAACGCGACGAGACGCTTCAGATGAGTACCTAAAAGGTGAATTTTGAGGTCACAGGTCGGGTCAAGGTCAGGTCAAACACCTGAAATCGGGCTGTCAGTAGCATGGACTTCAGGACTTCGCAATGGGCGCCTCTCGTCATAAACTCTGTCAAAACGGTGCACAATCCATCATATAAGGCCTACAAGAGTGTCAGCTCCATGTAGGGGTCAGTCAAGCATAGGTCAGGGTCAAGGTCAGGTCAACCGAGTAGGCACATATCCCCGAAAATCAAAACTGATATTCGCAGCCTGTGACACATGTTTTATAGGTAATTTGGGGCGTAGAACACGATGGTGACATTCATTTTATCATATGTGTACGTGTTTGGCTAAAAAAGTTCAATTTAAGAAATGCATGTATCATGGTCGTGAAGTAGTCACGAAAAATTGCCAAGATTCAGTTCAAGATTATGGAAAATGTGGAACGATAATCAATAATCGAAGATAGCCATTTGATTGATCATGGTATTGGCAGTCTAATGGCGTTTACGGCATGTCTGTATGTCTATTCTGTGATTTTATATGATTTTTTGAACATATGCCGTTTTTGGTCGAAAACTCAGAAATCATGACGTCACTAAAACCTCGATATCTCAAAAATTTTCCGACCGATTTTTTTGAAGCTTTGTCACAATAAACTTCAATCAATTCCCTACAAGTACCTAAAATTTGGCGCGCCTGCGGCGCGCCGTTTTTATGCCATGGCCCGGCGAAAAAAGTGGGGGCGTTTAACGCCCCCCCCCCCAGCAACTCGCGGGATAAGCTGCAGGCAGAAAGCCGACCGTGAAGATACGCCTCGCGCCGTAACATCAACATAGTCTTACATATGTTGATGAATGTAAATGCTTGTGGATATTCAGACCACCTCAAGTGCTCACCATAAGAAGCAAAAGACCAAAGGACCTAGGGAACAGTGCGCTCCTTACGGAAATTCAGCACTTAAGCACGCACAACCTGGACGTAATGCAAACTATCTAAAGTGTAAAATATGTATGTACAGGCCCTGCCGAGCTGTCCCTGTGACAGCACATCAAGAATGTGCATTAATTTTCCTACGCTGAGCCAAATCTGAATAGCAAATCATTTTTGGATAATCGCTGCATCTTAGATTACAGCAAAATACAAGTCTAAGAGCTGATTTGTAACTTGATGCTATTGTGATTGCAAGACACTTCTGTCTCATGGCAAAGCTCCTAGAATAAATGCTTATTTTCTTCATATGCAGCAATTCTTAGAACATTTTTAGCCGACGCAATTTTAGTGATGCACGAAACTGGTCGTTCATAAGATGAGATTTTCAGACAGTCTATTTGCCTTCAGCGGCAAAAACCGAGGCTTTCCCAGGCGCGTGTTGGGGACAGCTCACAGCGCACGGCAACTCCCGGTCTCATTTCCTCTCTCAAATACGTGCTCCATTTCCAGACCCTGGTCACCAAACGAGATGGGGTCAATTTGTCTGTAAGCAGCGGGCGGTGTCGGCGATAAAACTCACCGTGAGGAGCGGCGGGTCCAGTGGGCGGCGGACGCCCGGTGCGATGACCGTCCGTCGGCGGGGCCGCGCCGGGCCGGAGGGGCAGGGACGGTCTTCTGTACGGCACTGGCGCTCCACGGCGGTCGATACACGGCGCACCGGAGTCCCCGATGGAATCCCCGACGGAATCCAGGCGGATTCCCCGCCGCGGGAGCTCACACTAAAGGCCGCCGCGAAATCCCAGCAGGATATCCGTGGTTCTTCTAGCAGAGGTCTCAGCGGTCTTGTCAAGCTTTGAGGCAGCGGCGGCAGAGACGAGATATCAATTTGTTTACGCAGGAACCTGAAACACGTGTTTTTAGTGTTTTTTAGTGTGAACAACTCATCTACGACACTATGTCTTGATAGTGTTATGGTGTTATGATGCATAGGTATTGTAATGCATAATAAGGCGTATTGACCAGCTGAAAGCTTATCACAAAGTGCATACGGTGTTCTAGCGATGCATCAGCAACATGATGGGACATTGCATTATGCACCGTAAAGATCCGGCTCAAAGTTTCATTTTCATTTTTGTTTTTGCCACTAGTTGTTCTTTTTCAAAAGGAAGCCAAAATTGTCTAAATTTAAATGGGCACGCAATTCAAATACTTAGCACATTATGTGGTCAGATGATGTTGAATGCAATCATGGCATGTCACAGTCACGCAGTATCTCCTCGTTTGTCCCAGCATCCGCGTCTTTTTTCCTAGCTTTCATTACCTAAGAGCGAACAACACACGTTTTCATAACAAACATAGCAAGTAAAGCAGTTTTTCGTCGACAGATAGCTGACAAGGTTCTAATAGAAAGCTATGGATATCCAGAAACCACGGCGGCCATGGGCAGCTGAATGGCGGCGCTGGGTGTATGATTCATCCCGCTATCGGTCTATCGTCACCTCAGTCGGCGCCGCGCGCCTGTCAGCGAGGCCCACACAGAGCTCACCGGCTAATCCCCGACATGGCATGCCTCAAGTGGTGCGTTCATCCAGCCACTCGACACTCGGCCGCAGGCTGTCACTCGCACCGAGGTTTGAGAGCAGCGCGAGCCTCCAGCGCCGGCTCTGCGGAACTTATACCGGGAAACGCTCGCAGTCGCCGCCGGCGGACTCGGCGTATCTGCGGCGCAGGGCGCTGAGCGATGGGGCCACTCCACTTCCCCAGATTTACTGCGCGGTCACAGCCAGATGTGCTCGCCAGGATAGGAGAGCAGTGCCTTGGGGCAGAAAAAAAAATATTGACAAGCTATATGCTTGTCGCATAACCCTCCCGCAAAATACATAGATGCAAACCGAAGATTAGCAGATCGATACATCAGGAATAAACATAATTCCAGTAATTTTGCTATTTAAATACAATATGCTTCACATTCCTGACTTTTAAAAGTTGGGAAGGCATTGTTTCTTCGTTAAAGACGTATCATCTCAGGGCTCCGTTATTGAAAAGATAGATAAAATACACAATATGCATGGTCAGAGTTCCAGAAATGCGTAGGCGCCCACCTGTCTTTGATCCTTACAGCAAACAGCGGCGATATTCACAAATCCAACGGAAGATAGTCGGCTTGAAGTCGGCAAACGTCGCGGCCCTGTTGGGCCAGGGATTGGGCCAGGGATTGGAGGGATTTGTCGCATTAGCGGACCGATAGCACATCCGGCTGACACGCGATGCCGACCGCTGTCTGGTCTCTGTCCACAGTCTACAGAGGCTACAACGACAGGTGGACAGTGCGGGGGAGGGGGCAGGGGACACGGGTCAGGTCCGTGACAGCAGCGGCAGGAGCGGCGGGCAGTCTGGTCCCAGGGCTCGGTGACTGAACAGTGAACACCCATCTGACAAGTAGTATACGGCGTGTTTTGTGGCCAGGAACTCTTGCAGAAATAATAATCGTCTCTTTTGAAGTTTTCTTTACAGTGGGAATTGCCTTACAATTATGGCTAGGATTGTCAGTGTGTTTATAGCTCTTTTCGCTTCAAGCCTGCCAGGTAAGCCTCCCCATATGTTCACCAACTTCGGTACATTCATATGAACAACACTGCCTCATCACCAACTGATTTTCAACAGTGTCACTTTTCTCTATCTAAATCATGCCGTATCGGCCCAGTTTGAAGGAAATACATCGGAAATTAGAAATGCTTTAATCGTATCGCTCTAGCCTGCAAAAAAAGAGAAGATAACTCCGGTGTAAAAGAAGACTGGAATGTGTACCCGAGCAACGAAGGCGAATTAACTATTGGCATTGTCTTTGATCGCTCTAAGTACTTACCTAAAACCGCTAGCTCATATATTTGTTTCCGCAGGTGTGCAGAAGGTGACAGGACAAGTCGAAACGCCCTCGGACATAGTATTTGGTACCGCTTCTACGCCTTGTAAGTCGCTGCCATTGTTACATTAGTTCTACCATCGAATGTTTAATCGAAATACCAGCTATGAGTGATTCTAAACATATTTCAAATAATTCAAAACTAAAGCTAACATGTAGCTTTCGTCCCATTTCTCCACCTGTTTTCAGCTCCGACTGGCGCGCCGTGCACGCCGCTGCTGTTTGACCAGCGCCAGTATCGCCTACAAACCACTGAGAGCTTCATCGGCGTGCTGACGGTGTTGATTCCGGCGGCCAACTCGGGTGTGAGCGGCTACAACGTGCGCACGCCCGGCTACGGTGAGTCGCGCGCCGCTGGCTTATGTCTGAGTGAAGCAGACTCAAGCAGATCCAGCTTGGGTAAAACGTACTACAGTGGTGAGGTGCATGCTGCACGCTGCATAGCGCTCAGTGCGCGCTGCATCCGTTGCATGCGCTGCATGCGCTCAGTGCGCGCTGCAAAGTTCCGAACTGTACATTTACCGCTGATAGTTTTTTCTCTCTAAAACTCTGGATTGTGTCAGCAATGGTGTATTTTTTCTTGCAGAGTCAAGCCTTATTCTGAACAACATCACAGGAATATTGCAGAAGGCTCGCAAGATGCCATACCAGCGGGTAAGTCCCGAGACCCAGGTCAGATGCACTCTGAGCTGGAGGGACTCTAACCTAATGGACCAGCAGCCTGTTTTTTTTTTTTTTACTCTCGTCAAACAAATATAATACTTACCTTGTGTTCGATTAGACTTTCTCTCGGGGCTAACATGTGAAATAAAGATAAACCATACATACATACTTTCCAACGCAAGGGAGAATCATTTATCTCCCGCGTGTCGCCAGTTCTCAGTGTGGCCCCTCCCGGTTATCGTTGTGTCAACATATACTCGTCTGCCGCGTATGCCGCCCGCTTTCCGGAGTGGCCGGCACCGTTTGTATGCAACTCTGTGTCCGGTGTCCCAGGACAATCTGTTGCTCGGCCGGGCCGCAGGCTGGCCTGGGAGCAAAACATCGGCTCACCGGCCAGCTACAGCGAAACTGGCGTCCAGGGAGCGCCCGGCCGATCTGAGCCGGCGTTACCGGCAGATATTGCTGATATGATGAAGGGCCGTTTTCTGCAAAATAGGATCGACTGCTCCGAGACTTCATTCAAGGAACATGAGTCACACTGGGGCCGTCATGTACCAGCTATACTACTGAATTGTTGACGAGCTGCGCATTGTTGTCAGGTGGAGTTATTGGTGCAGGGCGAGACGGCAACATCTGAGAAGAAAAATGCCACAAACAGCACGGACATCGTGGATGTGGATGAAACATTGATCATCATTGACATTATGGTAAAAATGAATGTTGTCTGACGTTTGATAAGATTTGAATGTTACATCATCAGCGTATTATTACGGAGCGAGCGAAGCGAGCGTAGTCTTTCCTTAGATTAACCCTAGAACGCCTAGGGGGGAGGGGGGGTTGTATCAACCCCCCCCCCTGAGGTTTTTTCAAAGTGCACGCTAAACGGCTTGTCGTAGCGGGCTGAAATTTTCAATACCCTCTGGGGCAACCTTTGCGCATCTTTTGCCGAAAAAAAATTGATCGGGTCATGTCAGGTCACGGAGTTATGACGTCATAAGAGGTACAGCCTCCGGCCGACAGTTACCAAACGTGTGCGCCAAATCCCTAGGTTTTCTGCCGGTGATACCCACATTGTTTGATGGATCATGATGAAACTTCCCATGCATGTTGGGGCAAGCATTGGCTATCGTGTGGTGCAAGAAAATTGACCGGGTCAGGTCAGGTCACGGAGTTATGACGTCATAAGAGGAGCAGCGTCCGGTACTATTTTTGAAAAGCGCCCGAACCACTATTTTGCTAATTCTTGTCACCTCAATGGGAATATGCAGCAATATTAGCTTCTATAGGGAGCAAATGGACCTCTCAAATCCAAAAATACAATCAGATTTCAAAAATTTAAATTTTGATTTTTCGAATTTCTGCCGCCGACTGTGACCTTGCCGACTTCCGGCGCTCCCAACGCGCCATTTTTAGAGCTAGGGAAACGAAATACATACCAAACGATAGAGAATTGATCAAGGAACACGATAGTGAAGTTTTCAAGTCGATATCTCCCACCGTTTTGCCGCAATCGCCGCGGAAAGTTGAAAAAGTCTATTTTTCCGAAAATTTGACCTTTGACCGGTCAAAAGTAGGTCAAATGTTGACCTAGGACCAAAAAATATACCACCAATCGCGAGATCTCGTTGAGAGCAATCCGTTGGTTTTTTCCGCTAAGCTCTACGACCTTCCGTTTCGAAACGCCAGGGGGGGGGCGTAACAACCCCCCCCCCCCCTGGTCGTTCGTGTTATGAGAAATGGCCTGGTCGTGCGAGGGTTAACGGAAATTTCTGAGTATGAGCGGCCGGCCGGCCGGCCGGCCGTGCGGACGCTTTTGCGAGGCTTATATCTCAGCAACCACTTGACCGATTTACACGCGGTAATTTTTGTAGGGTAGCTTCATTCCTTCTACCAAGTATCGGACTATTCCCGATGCATGTGGGTGACCCCTTATGCACGTGCCACGTGCAAAACGAAGAGGTGTCAGTTTTGTAATTGTTGCAATATCTCGGTAACTACTTGGCCGATTGCGCTGGAAGTTGGCATGTAGGCAGGCACCCACTAGGCACTGCATATCCATGTGCCAGAGTTGGGGTGCTGCTGCACGTGCGCACGTGCAGGGGTCGTTTCCAGATCTCGAGAACGGCTGGACCGATGGCGCTCAAATTTGGTACACGGTTAGGGACCAGTTAGTAGGGTGCCGTGCTAAAGTCAGTTGGAGGTACCCCCTCGAAATTTCGCACGTGCAAGACTCACCCCCTCGCTCGCTCCGTTAGTCGCCCCAAAAGGCGCTATACTGGTGTAAATTATATGGCTTGGATACCTTCAATGTATGATCTTTTCTAAGCCAAAAAGCAATGCTTTCTTTAAACTATTTTCTTTTCAGGAAAGCAATGGCCTCTAACAACTTGGCGAGTCGTGCTGCCGCTCAGTTTTGACAATGTCTTTGTTTCAGGATGAAAACGACTCGCCTCCGCTGATGGATTGCTCTCTGTACGGCGACACCTGCGATAATTTAGTGGTGGGGTTCCCCGTGTCGCCGACCGCCGTTCTTCCAGCGCCGCTGCTGCGGCTCACTGTGAGTGAGAGACACGAGCTCAGAGAGCCATGGCTCAGCTCAGAGAGAGGCAGCTCAGCCTTAGGTGTCCCTTAGCTCAAAGAGTCGTACCTTAGCTCAGAAAGGGCGTGCCCTAGCTCAGAAAGGACGTGCCTTAGCTCACAGAGGGCGTGCCCTAGCTCAGAAAGGTCGTGCCTTAGCTCAAAGAGGCCGTGCCTTAGCTCAAAGAGGCTGTACCATAGCTCAGAGAGGCTACACTCGATTACGGAGGCCGCATCTAAGCTTAGCGAGTCGTACCTTGGCTCGCCTCATGGAATCGTACATTAGCCCAGAGCGGCCGTCCGTTAGCTCAGAAGACCGCATCTTAGTTCAGAGAGCCGTAACTTAGTTCATTGAGGTTCGCTGGCCCAGAGAAGCCGCACCTTAGCTCACATAGGCCCTACCTAGCTCAGTGAGCTGTATGTTAGTAGTCACCGTCTACACTATCAGTCACCGTCCTTCTCTCTTGTTGGTCTCAGGTGACGGACGCGGACACGGGCTCGTTCGGTGTGGCTGGTGTCCAGTACTCGGTCAACTCGACCTCCTTCAGCGTGGACCCGAGCGGTCTTCTCTGGCTGGTCGACCCAGACCTGTGAGCGGCGACAGGCCACTTTGCCGGGGACACGGAGGGAATAGCCCGGCGTCCGCTGTGTGACGGGGCAGAGATGTCGGGACCGCTTCAGTCACGCTATTTATTTATAATCCCCTTTCCAGCTATCGTGTCACAATGGGAACGATTCATTGGTCCCCTATACTTATTTTCAGTCCAAAGTTTCCTGTTGGTTAGAACATTAGCATGATTATTCGACTACTTTCCAGAAGTGACGAGCAAGTAGTCGTCCTGACAGCGAAAGACAACTTAGGTCGGCAGCCTTACATGCAGTCGCAAGCTTCAATCACAGTAAGTATTTGGCGTCGAGTCTCCACTCCACCGTTTTTCTATCATGTAATCGCTCAGAATCAACCTCATAACGAGCATTTCACTCACACAGGATTTCTTAAGTCTGACCAGATTCCAGGTCCACCGCTGCCTTGCTGACGATTAGCGCGGTGGTTTTCCTGCCTCGTCTCGTCGTCTGTCAGCTGCCGGCTGTGATCCCGCCTGTCCCGGTGTGGCCCGCAGGCGCTGCCCGTCACCGACCGACAGCTGTTCTTCGTCAGCGCCCAGCGCCAGCTGACGGCCGCTAGTGACGTCACTGAACTGCTGGAGGATATCCGCTCGGCCGGCGGGTTCAGTGCGGTGCTCTCTCCCCAGCTCCAGGGCATCAACTACGGCGGTCAGGTGCGACAGGGACAGAGAGAGAGCTGTTACTGAATGATTGCAGATGGAGTGTGGTCACATGCATACGGAAAGCAGGAGTCGCCTAGGCCTTGGGAACATTGTTGGTTAACGGTCTTACGATTTTCTCCGGTATTCGGTCAATCTTTGAAGTTTTACATCACCTGGAAGCATTGCTAACACACCCATGCGCAAGCTGCAAGCAAATGGTGACAGAATATTAGAAAAACCGTCTTTGTGTCCTGACTCGATTGACCTAGCAGATTCAATTGACCTGTCTGTCCGTGACCTGACTGATAATTCCCTGTCTCATGACCTGACCTTTTCTGGTGTTCTGATACAGGTGGACAGAGTGCCGGCCTCGCCAGGGAACGGCACGAGTCAGCTGTACGTCTACGCCATCGGTCGGGACAGTGACGGAGCGTACCGCGTGGTGGAGCGAGACGAGTTTCTGAGGTGCGGACATCTGGCACTATGGCTAGTTTTGCATTCAGCATTTGTAGTGGTGGTATGGTGGTTTGCAATCCATAAACTATTTATTTGAATGATAGACAGGTTAAGAATCCTTTGTTGAATGTATAAACATGGTAAATAGTTATTTGTCCTTTACATTACACAGAATAATTTTATAGGTACCTAATTCATCAAATTATGTGGGAACTCTTGCTATATTTTCCCTTATTCTCGTAAATAACTGGTGTTTCAAAGTGTTTTAACGGTAAACAAACCACTGAACACATTTTTTTACCAGGCAATATTATGATGAGCTTTGTGTGTTGTGCGCTGAGCCCTTACCCGGTCCTGGTTTCTGTCAGCGCGCTGGGAAAAATGGCGGAGTCAGACACCGTGCGGTACGTCGAGAGCAAGGAAGACCAAATGAACAGAGGTACGTACGGTCAGCCGAAATGGTAAAAATGGTTATTTGGAGTTTCCCGAATGCTCAATCACTTCGTGGTCAATGGTCATGGACATTGCATTTGTGGGGCGTTTTGCGTCAGTGTAGGTTGTTTTATGAGGGAACTTTCCGCTGGATTTTGTTCTTTTTTATTTTTAGGGACATCAGAATACCAAAAACAGGTTTTCCTTATATCTTAGCTCTACAGCGAAATCCGTAACAACTATTATAACAACAGTGCACCACGCCGAGGCCAATAATGGCCATCAACTACACTCTAACGCTGCGTTGTTCGGGGTTGGATTAGCGTGCCCGAGTGGGCCCGTTGACCGAGTCTCCCTTCGACCCCCCAGGGGGCGGGGAGGAGGACACGGAGACGGGACTGATTGTCGCCCTGGCCGTCGTCTCCTGCCTGCTGGCGGCGGTCATTGTCGCCGCTGTGTTCAGAGATTACACAGTTCGACGGCGCAGCAGGGACGACTGAACAGGTAGCGTGTTGCGGAAACAGTAATTTTCCTCACCCTGAATATAGCCGATGATATAAGGCTTACAGCTGAGTGATCTTAGACGTGTCCGTGAAAATGAAATTTCATCGGACTGATGCAGTCTTCTAAATGTAACCAGCCACCACTGTGTGTTTCAGGAGACAACTCAAAAGGAAGCAGTCTGATTAATGGTGATAAGGTTACGGGCCGGACATCAAAGATTCAGCGCCAGGCCTAAGTTATCGAACCAACAACAGGAATTCCGAGAATTGATGAATCGCGTGCAGCATGTTCCGGTGAAAATTGATAGCCTTTTGATGTAGTGCTAAGAAATTTATTTAGACGTGAAAAGCCGGATATATCATTGAATACGGTGAAGGATGAGTGGAATTTACAGCAATGGTGCATCGATTCATTCCAAACAACGAGACAATAACTCTTTTCTAAATACCAATGACCCGGAAGCTATTCAGAGAAAGTCCCAATAATTTCCTACGACGGGCATTCTATTCAATGGCCTAGCCAATAACCATAGGTGAATGTAAGTACCTCATCATAACATGTCTATACATCGATACCCACATGCCGACAGGAATAGCTGCCGTGAGTGGATGGATATACCAGCAGGTCAGGTCACAGAAGGGGTCACATTTTCATTCAGCACACCGTAAGGCGTAAACTGTAGCATACTGAGCATTACATAAGCTTGTAGGGTCATCCACTCGACCGGCAGGCATAGTTAGACACATGAAACATTATGGGAGCTGGCTGGACTGCCCGCTGCCCCTGGTTTGTTTTTAAGTGTCCAGCTGTGTCAGCCGTGGTTTATTCTACCTCAAATAAATAGATAATGTAGCAGAATGTGTGGCAACATGTCAAATGGTGTGATTGTTCGATTATTGCATAGTCAATACCTACATGGATTCTTGTAATAAAATAATGTGTGATGCGAGTAGCATTTAAATATTTATTTTGAACGACAACGGGATGCTGATCAAGTGCATTTTGTTCCATGTTTGTAGATAGCAAATAAACACCGCCATTTTACCTCCCCGTTTACGTTTGTCAACCGCAGACATTGCCTAGTAAGCACAAAGTACTTCGTTCGTTGAAACGCATGCTTTTCATTTCATTTTCTGCCGTCATCTAGTTCCTGTTGTACATCTGACGAGTTCACAGCCAGATTATGAGATAATCTTGCGTATCAGAATGCCATAAAGGAGAGTCATCCATCACGGAGGTAAAGTGTCGCATTCTCTCACTCAACACTCTCTCCTGTGTTTGCGCCCATGAAGATGGTCGACTCTGGGCTGTGGCATGAAGCATGGAAGACGGATTTACCTCGCGGGGTGGACCTCAACCGCTACACCGCATGGGGCACCATCATCGGCCCCACCCCAGCCGCACGGAGCGGTACTGGGACTATAGACGGCCTCCGGACGTACTGGCTTATATATCGGCCTGTGTGGGCTATAGACACCACCGCCTCGCCGGCTGCCGCCCCGCGGGGTGCTGGGACTTTGGTCGATAGCGGGCCGGTCGCCAGCGCGACACCATTGACTAAAACCGCCACCACAATTCAGACACCGCGGCAACAGAGTCCGCGACTGGCAACCAGACTGCTGAAACGGCCGAAACTCTGCCGAGACAGTCTTCAACGCTCATGAAGCATGCTAAACTGGTCCACAACGTAACAGAGACTGCTGAAACAGATTTCACAACAGAACTAATGATTCTGCTGGAATGGAAGTCAGTGGAAGTCAGTGTTTGAAGTCACTGGTCACAAAACATGGCCTCAGACAAAACGGTTTCAATTGCCTGCAACCTTTTTCTCCCCGCTACCTAAACGTACAATTTACCCTACATCAAATTGTTGTCAGATTCAGTCCTGTGTCACCAGCAAACAAGTTTTATAATGCTTCAATTTCAACGTTTTCGAGCCGCCTACACACCTGTAAGCACGGATAATGGCTGTTTTAATCTTCCTACCGCTTGGGTTATTTTGCCTCATATTTCCGCACGGAGTCATCTCGAGTGCTCTGTTGTTTTTCCGGGTGCGTCCCCTCATCCAAGAACTAATTTAGTTAACCCGCGCCCGGCTGGGGGTCCTGGATTTCCACGCCCTGCTGGGGGGGGGGGGTGTTTGAACACCCCCCCTTCTAACTCGGCTCCTGGGCCACGTAGCGACACGCGGAAGGCGGCGTTCGAAAGAGCGTCAAAAATAATGAGGAAATCACTTCGGTCAATTTTTTGGTCAGGTCAAAGGTCAGGTCACCAGAGGTCATTTAAGGCAAAATTTCGCCGATTTCAAGGTCGAATGTCGACAATTTCCAAGAAGCCAACGTATAACTCGGGAACAAATAGAGCTACAGCGGCGCGGTAAAGCGCATTCGATAGCCCTATTAACGCCCTTTCTGAGTAATTCTCTCAGATTTGACCTAACGTCAACGGTTTTGCCTGCAGGGGGCAAAAACTGCAAAAATAGCCGATTTTTTCGGAAACAGTTTTTCTGCAATAACTTTTGACTCAAGCCTTGTACGAGCTTACTTTTACCGGCATCGTGTTCCTCTCGTCAAGACGCATCGAATGAACTATAACTTGACCTTGAAAGGTCAACTTGAAAATTTGACCTCAGGTCAAGGTCATGACCTGACCGGAAAGGGTCGTGTTGCATATCAGTCGATCCGTATCGTCGAGCTGAACACATCTAAGGCGTTTTCATCGCTCTAGCATGCCTCTATCAAAAGTTATTTGCGAAAAACTGTTAGATACTATTCGTGACCTTAGATGACCTCAGGGCATAAACAGGGGTCACGGACACCATTTTCATGTTCAGTGTGTCTAAACCACTTGTAATTCGGTGTTTGGGAGTGTTTATAATGTCTTTCGTCCAAAAGAGGCGCATTTGAATTTTCTCCCATTGACTTATAATGGGGAGGTCGCAAAATTGACCTGACCTTAGGTCATCGATATCAAAATTCTGAGATATACATTTTGTACATGCTATTGCTCTTAGCAATCGCTGAAAGTTTCAAAGCAATCGGTCACTCGGTGTAGCTATGACAGACATTGAAACTTTTTATGAGGTGAGGTCACTTCAAGTGACCTGGTGACCTGACCTTGAATGACCTTGGTCTGAAATTTTTACAACATGTGTAGAATTGATGTATGATAAGGTATACCAAAAACGGCGGCGCTCCGCGCCGCCGTTTTTGAGATATTCGCGAAAAACCACAGGGGGGGGTGTTCAAACACCCCCCCCAGCAGGGCGCGGGTTAAATCGATGATCCTTGTTGCCAGTTTATCGGCCAATTTAACGAGCCGGCGCAGCAGTGTTGGTAAGTGCACTTACGCGGCTCACATTACCAGTTCAAGGACGGTACGAAAGCCGCCTAGGTCAACACACAAGTTCAACTGAAACGCTGGCCTGGCTGATAAAGCTTATTTCTCCGCTGCTCGAACGTTGAAGCTCAACCGACAATACCCCGAAAAGTTCGACCATCCAAATCAGTCAAAGAGATCACTTTGCTGGGTGCTCAGCTGCCGATAGGTAAATGTAGAAAAATCCAGAAGATTTTGATGCAGTGTCATCCAGTACGGCCAATGTATCATAGTTTAGCCCAGTAAAGATCAGCAGACGGTCATGCGCAGAGAGCACGTGTCTGAAAGTCGGCGGTGAAGCCGACCAGACCAGACCCAGTCCTGTATTGGACCACCAGGAGCGGTCCGCCCGCGCTGTGGACAGGTCGGACCCTGCTTTGGTGTCGGTGACGGCGGGCTGGTCAGGTCGGGTCTCGGCTGTGGCGGCAGTAGGCTGATCAGACCAGCCCGGCTGCAGTGTTGTGCCCATATCAGACCAGCGCTGTTGTGACCGTGTTGTGCCGATCAGACCAGCGCTGTTGTGACCGTGGGCTGGCCGGTCGGGAGGGCCCGGCTGTCGTGTTGTGCCAATCAGAGTTCCTCTGTTGTGACCGTGGGCCGGCCGGTCGGGCCACCGTTCGGTCGATGGTGAGTCGTGTCGGTGGGTCCGCTGGCCGGCCACCGGCGCCCCGACTGAATAAAACATCCCCGGCCGGTGCCGGACGCGCCGGTAACTCAGTTACCCTGCGCCGCCGACTGCCGCGTGCCCCTACTGAGGGGGAGGGGGCGTCACGTGACACACAGCCGTCCGTCACGGCACGCACGGCAGTCGTGGGGCGGCGTCACGCGGCACCGTGACGGTCACTGACAGCGGAGACCTTACAGGGACCCCACTGGAATGGGTCTGTAGGCAGTCGGGAATGGACAGATTCCCGAATAAAATTCTGATGGACGCACAAAGTACGAATCGCGCCGCCATAATAGATCCGTATTTCGATGATCAACATAGTGGAAAAATCGAACAAGTTGAAATAATTGTTACCAATTGTCCCACCTAAAGTAATAACGGTAACGAAGCCGTAAAGCTAAAAAGCTTTTCACTTGTTTTGTATTGCTGGCCTCCCATCCTACCACTTTTCCTCTGATAAATTCATCACATGCTGCTGCGCCAGGTTGATGCAACACCGTCGCTTTGTAATACCCAGTGTCTACATGAGCGTCATGAAGTCCAGTTCCCGGGCTCCAATGGAACCGTGCGGCTGCATCCCCCATCGACCCGATCGACCGGGACCGCGATCGTATGGTCATGCCACTGGCCGTGTGTATTATGAACGGCGCAGACATGCTCCAGTGCGATGTTTGTCAGGGAAGCGCACCGATGACTCTATGCAATTTGCAGTTTGTCTTTGCCTGCACGAATTTGCCTTGTACGAATGTGTCTGTTTTTATTGCTCGGTAGAATGAATCTACGAAGTGTTTGGCGTTTGCGTTGCAGCAAACGCCAAACAGTGTCTGACGGTGCAGAGTACGTGCCAAGAGCTCAGGACATCCTGGAAGTGTTCTCTCAGCGCGTGCATTTGTCTGTCCACACAATGTCCACACAGTTTGCCCGGCGCTGACACTCGTCCTTCGTCGCGGTGCCATCACTCGGCTCTGGTGCTCCGCGCCGGCCTATCGCCGCTCTCTGTTTACCCATCCAGGTCCCGTGACACGGCTATAGCCGCAGCGAGACCGACCGTTCCGGGGAGCGGGCCACATCACAGGCCGGCAGCGCCCCCCGGGACCGCCCTCTGCGCCGCGCCGAACTGGTGTTTACTTCCCACTGATGTCGATACGGCCGACACTCGCGGCGCGGCGCGGCGTTTGATGACGCGGCTGCAGCGCGGGATCTCCGGTGGAGACGTAAGGCCAGACAGCCAGACGCCCAAGGAAGGCGTGTGGCCGGATCGTGACCCGAAAACTGGGTCTGGGCTGTGCAGGGTGAATATTAGGTGTTTTCACGACGACCATCTGGTGCACATTTAGTGCAGATTAGGTGCAGATTTGGTCAAATTAGGTTCAGTGTGTCTCTTAGCAGCTATCAGCTAGGGTTGCACTTATTGCTTATATACCTGCTTTGTTATATTATCAGAGAGCATCATCGATTAAAACACTGAAATAAATTCATAAAATGAAGATATTTGCTGTAAAAGAAATTAGGTGCAGATTTGGTCAAATTAGGTGCATTCGCCGAATAGCCCGTCGTGAAAACGGCTATTTCAGGCTGCCTAAGGCTCCTATCAGCAGCTGTGGGTGACCCTGAGCTCAGCACTCGAATCAGGTCACGCCCAAACGCTTTGCGCTGTTTAATCTGCGTCAAACAACGCACAAGAGTAACCAATGGTGCAAAGATTATGTTAAACTGAAGTGTTGAGTGAGTAAGCCTTTTCACAGGCGGTTTCCAGTGAATAGGGGAGAGCGGGGAGAGTTGTATCATGTCCAAGTTGTATCAGGGCGAATTGTGCCAAACTTATCCAATGGATGGCGCTCGCGACACGACCAGCCGACGAGGTTTTCCGAGCGCCATCTTTCCCTGTTCTGTCTTGTGGCTGAGTGGACGCGTCTCGAGGGGAGAGCCGATTTTATGTTTTTTTAATGTCATTCTAAAAAAATAAGTTGCAAGAAAATGTGTGTTCTGGGCATTTAGATG